ATTAAAATAACATAAACATATGTATTGTCAATTTAGGAAGAATTTCTTAAGCAAAATCAGACTTTTTTTGTGTGTAAATTTAAAAGTTTACGAACTTATTAATATTATTTACAAACATTAGATTAAAATTTAGACAATATGCGTAAGGATTGTATTATCTAAATTAAAAAATAACAAATTTAAAAATTATTTTAGCTACTCCTGGGAAGCGGGGATGAATTTGAATAGATTTGTCTTTTTTTTTTATAAGTCAATGAGGAACATGCATGCGCTGGGTAATCGCTGTATGTTGATTATTTTAAATATCTTAAAACTCTCTAAAATCAATTCAGAATTTAAAAAACTGACCTGAATTTTAAAAAAAAATTTAACTTAAAATTAGCCCAAAACGAAACAAACTTCATGTGACACAAAATGGGGCGGAGTTTGCTGAGTTACTATATTTTGACGTCATAAGCAAACGGAAGGAGTTAAACCAAAGCTTTCTATAGGGAAAAGTGTTATTGCTTACAAAGGCGTTTTAATTTGAATCGCATTTATTTGAGAAAATACTATTAACTTTTTAGTACAATGCAAGTGGAGAAAGATTTTGTTAAAGGTCAATCGGACAATCTATCGATGATACATTCCTTTTCTCTATTTTCTTTTTTTGGAAAGAATCCAGATTTCTTTAGTGCGGAATTCAAGGGTGTGAATATGATGCGGTAAGAATCTTCTTTTGTTACCTTAAAAAATAAGTTTATGCAATACATTATTAAGAAATAATTTGTAAAATTGCTTTACCTGAACTTAAGTTATTAAAAGTCGTGCTATGCTTGTACAGTCAGAACCCGATTTAACGAATTTTTTTCAGCCCCAGCAAAAACAGTCATAAACCCCGAATGAACGAATTATTTCAGCATCCGGAAATAATATTTTTCATTAATTTTGATCAGAAAAATATTGCATTTTTTTGTAATTGGCAGATTCTTAAGGGAAAAAATCTTTCCTGAGAGGAATAAAATAGAAAAGTGCATATTCGTCTCAAACAAAAGAAAAACCCACAACAGGGAAAAACAAAATTCGTCGTGGGTAGGTGGGCGGAGTCAATACATTACAGTTGCAAGGTCATGTTCCGGGGGTTTATCACGTGGGCTATGAGTCAAACAGGAAATTCCTTTCTTATCTTATCTCTATAGTCCATTGACAGGGTTAGATCTACGTCATCAACGACGTCACTAGCTCTCCTCGTTCCAAACATTGTTTGGAACAGAGTAAACAATATGGCGTTTCTAATGTTGTGAAAAGTGGGTGATCTAAATTTGTGAATATTTTAATATCGAGTAGAATTTAACCACTGAAATGGCAAGAAAAAGTGTTATTAAGTTCTTCCATATCGCAAAGTTTTTCTCTGATGAAGCTAAATTAATTGAAAGAGGAGAGAATGCTGTTGAAGCAAACCATGTAAGTTCGCTTTCATATAAAGCGGATGATGGTATCATAGAGGCAAAAATTGATGCAAGTAAGAAGGATAAAGTATATGCTGTGCAAGTATGCTATTATTTGTTTTTATATGTTACCTCTCCGGATGTTATTCTGAATGTCACATTATTTTCCCATAATTTTTGTTGGTGAGGAGTTGGTAAGACTCTTAAGAAGGAAAAAAAAAGAACCAAGCTTGTACTTTTTTTTTTCCAGTTTGTGCTGAACATTGTGTTTTTAACTTATACGAGAAATAAATATGCATTTGGGAAGTAAAATCTCTTTATTTTAAATGTATAGGGGAGTAACATAAGTTGTGCACATAATGATAGCATGAAAAATATATTATAAAAAACAAGATAGGGCAGAATAGTTCTAAAACTTTGCTTTTTGTTCTAAATTTTACTTTCTTAAATAAGGGATGTCCTGGCTCTTAAATGTATGATTTGTCTCTTTAACATTTTAAACTTATAAAAAATGTCTAGTCTTTTTTGATAAAAATTAAGTGATAATTTTTTTTCAGTTGTTTTATAATCTGAATTTCTTTTAACTATATACTGGACATCTTGCTCTATTTGCTTATTATTTTAGTGTGAGCCTCAAGTGTTTCATTTTGCTAGTTTTGTTTGTAGCCATAAGTTTTTATAAATTTGATGCATTATTGTGTTTACACAGTTAAACCTTTACAACTCTTATGTTCCTTTTCCACATGATATTTTTTAGTTTTTTTGGCTTGTTATCAGAAAAAGCTTGTTGATCCCTGATTTTAAGTTTTAACAAAACTATATCTTTGAATATAATAAGCAACTGCAGCAATTTTTTGTAATACAGATATTTCTGTTTTAGATTATGTTTGAAAAAGATGGTTTTATCAAAGACGCAAGATGTGCATGTCCTAGGGGTATGGCACGATGTCATCAAATGGCAGCTGCATTAATCTACGCACACCACAATGTTTCGATAACTGATCAGCTTTGTCGCTGGAATTTTAAGAAGCCTTCTAAGAAGGTTAATAAAATTTGCAGTGTCGAGGAGTTGTTTCCTCAAAAGAAATTTAAAGCGACTGAGGAGGATAAAAGTGCTATTAAAAATGAAGTTTATCAAGCTTTAGATAGTCAGATTGTTGGTTTTCGTTGGCTTTTAAGCCCCGAGCCTGTTCCCCGCACTGTTCTATGGAGGAAATTTTATTTTCTTCTGAATTTTTACAGTCAGCGGATAAAAAGGCATTTCTTTTAAAAAAGTGTAATTTAGTATAGTCCAACTATAGTCCATTCCACCTTAAGTTGGCATTGCAGGGATGGGTAGGATATGTAATATTCCGCTTTTGAAAAGTAGTTCTTCTCTATTTTGGAATTAATTGCAGTTTTAAGAAGAGTTTATCTTGAAACATACATTCGAAGTTTTTCATGTTTAAATGTATTTAACTTATAGATACCGTCTCAGTAAAGCGAATGTACAAAGATGGTGTTTTAGTTTGGCGCTGGATTAGTTTTCAAGGCCAAGGAATTGGCGCGTTGGCTAAGTTTCTACGCTGGTCAGCCAGCTCGTTCCATTCTGTTGTGCAGTTCTTTTTTCGCTTTCTTTCACTCGCATCGATTAGTTGTTCTTTTGTTTTTTATTAGTTATAAACTGTTAATTTGTTGTTTTTAACTGGTTAGTTATTGTTAGCTCATTTTTTATAGTTATTAATTTTTTTAAATTTTGTTTTTTTTGTGATTCCTTGTTAAATTTTCTTCATCTTTTGTTGTTGCTAATTACTAAATGTTAGCTTGTTTTTTTTTTGCTAGTTTGTATTATTTTGTTACAAAAGAAAAAAAGCTATCAATTAATAAGTAAGTTATTAATCTTTATTAATAATTAAAAAGGTCAAGCAAGCTAGTCATTAAGTTCCTTACTTTATTTTTTTTAAAACATTTTAAGAATGTCAGAGACTATCACCGACAAAGATGTTTACGCCATCAAATCGCGGGAAAATTATAAAAAGTGGTGCTCGCAGAAACATTTTAAATGTTTATTCACAACTAAGAAAAGAAAGTCCACGTGAAAGCATCACTCAAATATGCGACAAAGTTGCTACACTTACTGGTTGTTCAAAAAGAACTGTTTATCGTTTGAAGAATGAAAAAAAGACATCCAATCCTTTAAGTACACCTGGAGCTGTAGGTAAACGCACAAGACTCGTGAAATACGATGATTTTACGTTGTGCTGCATTCGCAGAAAAATCCATGTTTTTTTTCGTCGAAATGGAGTACCGACTTTGGACAAAGTTTTAAAGGAAATAAATGGAGATAAGGACATAATTGAAATAACATTGGCCGCACAACTCTTTATCGGATTCTCAAAGACTTGGGATTTTCTTTTGAGAAAAATAAAAAAAAAACTTCTCTTGTTTTAGAGAGGAACGATATCATTTTGTGGCTGCGAAATTATTTGCGTCGCAATAAAGAATACAAGAAGAAAAATGTTCCAATTTATTATCTGGATGAAACCTGGGTTAATGAAGGCCATTTCCCAGTAAATCATGGCAAGATACTGTGATCAAAACGAGCTACGAAACTTTATCATCGAATTTGACTGTTGGCTTAGCTGAACCCAAAGGAAAAGGAAGAAGACTTATCATCACTCATATTAGGAGTGAAGAAGGATTTGTTTCAGGTGCTCTTGGTATATTCATAGGAAAAAAAAGTGGTGACCACCATTAAGAAATGGACGGCAATCATTTTGAAAATTGGTTTAAAAAAGTTTTACCGAAACTGAGACAGAAAAGTGTGATTGTTATGGATAATACTTCCTACCACTCAGTCAAAGTGGAGAGAATTCCGACTAGTTCCTCGATTCAAGAGTGGCTATCAAGCAAAAATATTGGATGGGATATAGATATGATTAAAGTAGAACTTTTGCAAAAGGTGGCAGAAAACAAACACCTGTTTGACAGAATATGAACCAATTTAATGGTTATTTTGGCTGCCCCTGGTGTTTACATCCTGGAGCAATGATGGAAGGAGTCATGAAATAGAACACCTTAGAGGAAGCACATTCAGCTAAATGTAAAGAGTGAAACTGTAACAATAATTTTCTTGCACATTTAGTTGAATTTGGGTATATTCGAGAGAGCATTGAAAGCTCCGTTCTGATTGCGAGTTATTATTTGCATGTTATGGGAAGAAGAGCTCGTATGCAAATTTTCGTCACGATTCATACATAAAAGCTGCTGATTAGAGTGTGCATTGTCTTTCGCGGTAGCAACGCATATGAAGATGTTGCCCTTCTCTAATTAGGAAAAAGCCGACATGCATTTCGTTTATGGAGCTGCAAATGGAAATAGCTTAGAGGTTCAACGGTTTTACGGAGAACGATTTCCAACAGGCGGTTGCCCAACCATAAAACATTTCAACGCTTGCACTGATAGTTGTGTGAAACGGGTTCCTTTCTTTCAGCCCGGTCGGATGCAAGGATGGACGGAATGGTAGAAGAAGCTATTTTGGATATGGTGGCTGATCAGCCAAGTACAAGTAAGCGAGCGTTGGCTAGACAATTACAGGTATCGCAATCCACAACATGGCGAGTACTGAAGGATGAACGTTTGCACCTTTATCATGTTCAACGAGTCCAGAAGATCAAATAATGTTATTAATTTTAGCATAATTAGTATACCATATACTCAAGATTTTATTAAGAGTATGAACCATAATCAGGTTTCTGACATAAACGATGGAAAATAGTATGGAAAATGAGACTGAATCTTTGTTTTTAACATATAATTTTTCAGTTGATTGTGTAGCTGTATTTAACAGTGCTACAGGATCTTTATGGCCTTTGGATTGTTTATCTCATTGAATGTAAAACATGCTCACTAAAATACATTGGACAAACAGGTACTGAGCTAAATAAAAGAATTAATAGTCATCGATGAGTCATAAAAAACTTTCATAAACATGATAATTCTGATATTGAAATTGTTCATTTCAAAATCATTCTTTTAAGAGTATTAATATGATCAGCCTAAGAGTATATTCACATCGGTTTCGAAACGTCCTGTATAGTGTCATACTGGGTTTCAAAACTTCCGGTATGACTTCATCCTAGGTTTTGAATTTCCAGTATAATAATACTGGTTCCAGTAGTATAGTTTATACTGATATTGCAAATTTTTTCCCATAAGGCTTCCATTGAAGACATTTATTGCGATCAAAACATTTGCGAACAAAGACCGTAGAGACGGATATTAGAGACTTAATGAGAAATTGGTATTTCGATTCTCCATCAATTCCTCGAGAAGCTTTAAATAAACTGTTAAAGGCGTTGCGTACTTCGCATCCTTCTTTACCTTCTGATGCGAGAACTTTTCTGAAAACTTCAAGGGAAATGTATTTTCACCAAATGGGATCGGAAATTTTTTTTACTTCACTCTAGAAAAATCAATTAAATCACGTATCCAAACGTTAGATTTAAAAGAAATTAAGCAGATGTTAATGGAATTCTTCTGCATTCAAGAGGATCCCAACCAAATGCCTTTTGCTGTTGCTTTGTTTTACGGGGAATCGAAACCTTACACTGAAATTTTTTTCCGAATTTATAGATGAAGTAGTATGCTTCTTGGAAGAAGGCATAGAATTTCGGGGCAAATAACTGGCTTTGAAAATTAGATGTTTCACTTGTGATGCTCCGGCAAAGGTCTACATTAAATGCATAAAGGGCCACTGAGGATACTATGGGTTTGATAGATGCAGTCAACGTAGCGAAAAAAGAAACGCATTAGCTTTTTCCGAAAACAAATGCCCATTGAGGACAGACAACTCTTTTCGTGCGAAACAGCAAGTTGAACATCATATATAAGAACGTCGCCATTGGAATCTTTAAAAATAGACATGGTGAAACAATTCCCTCAAGAATATATGCATCTTGTTTGCTTAGGTGTCATGAGGAAATTACTTTTTATTTGGAGTGGAAAGAAACGAGATAGAATGGGGAGATTATCCCTAACACAGATAAATGAGCTTAACTTAGGATTAAAACACACAGAGAAGTTTTGGCCAATCGGATTTCGTAAGAAGGACAAGGTCCACAAAAGAGCTGGACCACTGGAAAGCTACAGAATTTAGACTATTTCTCTTATAACTAGGTCCTGTCCTCTTACCGAGATATACTTAAAAATAAAATGTACGACCATTTTCATGCGCAATAACCTTTTTGGTATCGGAAGAATACTGCGTCAAATACAATAAATTTGTGGAAAAGTTTTGTAAGTGAATCAGAGGAGTTATAAGGTGAGAATTTTATTTCCTATAAAGTTCATTTTCTGATTCACTTAGCAGATGATGTTTTGAATTTCGGGTCGTTGGATAGATTTAGTAGCTTTCCTTTTGAAAATCACCGTCAGATGTTTTAAAAAAAAACTTACAAAAACCAACCAGCCTTTACAACAGATAGTAAAAAGGCTTTTACAGAAACCTGAAAACAAAAATGCTATCAATAATCGAGTAGAGTAGCATCCTGTTTCTGTAAGAGGACACAAAGAAGAAAAAGTTCGAATGGAAGGATTGGAAGGAGTCTCTTATTGCAAACTGAAAAATAGAAAGTTTTCTATCCAATCTGGCAGCAAAAATTCCTTTTTAGTCTTGAAAAATTAAAATATCATAATAATGACTTTTAATTTTGTAGCATTTAATAAGGAAATCTATGTTGTAGGAAGAAAATATAAGGAGGTACGTCCATTTAAGAAGTGTTCCCACTCAGGCGGGACAAAAAAAAAGTGTAAGGCATTATGCCTGCTTGAAAGGTAAACTTTCCGCTGTATCACACAGTTTTATAACTAAATAGGTTATAGCTTATAGTATATACTGTGTGTATAGTATATACTAATATAACTTTTAAGTTGGCTTTATAATTATTTTATTCATTTTTTTTCCATGCATTAATTTAATATCAAAGGGAAAATTTATTTATTACAAGAATGTTTAAAAATTTTATTTTTGGAGATTTAGAATAATTTGCTTAAAATTTCATTAGCAAAAATAATTAAAAATAAGAAGAAATGAAGAATGCAATTAATTAGAAGAGTTTGTTGCTAAAATTACATCAGGCCGACGTCAGAAAAAAAAAAGAATGTAAGAAGATGGGTAGCTTAAGTTTTAATAGACATGAACAAGTGAATTACATAGCAGAAAAATTGGATGCGACGTTAAAACCGAAAATTGAATTAAAGAACAAAAGAAATTCTAAAGAAATTATGAAAAAGTTTTAAAGGACTGGTGGTGATTTTCATTACCGAAATTAAATGAAGCTCAGTCTCAAAAATATTAGAAGTTTTGGTCATCCTGATTTTGCTACAAAACTGAGAACTGTAACAGAGCTTGATCACCAGAATGGAATGGAATTCGGACGATTCCTTTGATATCTAAGTAACGTTTTCATACGAAACATTCTTATAAATAAAATGTATGATCATTTAATGCCTTTTTTTTTCTTTCTTTAAAGTGCAATAAGCTTTTTGGTGTCAGAACATTGTCTGAAATACGATAAAACTTCCCAAAAGATGTCATAAGATTTTGTAAGCGAACTTTTTGCTAAATGAGATCATAAACAAAATGTTCTATAGGACATATTGCAAATGTAAATTTCTTTCCTCCAATATAGCAGCAAAGATTCCTTTGTAATCTTAAAATATTACAAAAATGAGAAAAGTGGTCAAAACATATAATACAGAAATATATGTTTTTGGAAAAAACGAATTTAGAAATGGAGGGTCGAATATTTAAAAAAATTCATATACAAGCGGGATAAAATATTTTCCTTCATTGAAAATATGCAATGTTTCAGAAAAAGAAACAAACTTATTAAGGCATTATGTCACCCAGGAAAAGCAAACTTATTTGCTTCTCGCTTCCTCACATAGTTTTACAACTAACTCGATGCGACATATATACTGGATTTATATTTACTTTTATGAAATATAAAAAGAAAAAGTTATTTTGGTAAGCCACAAACATGTTTATTCACTATAGCTAAAAGAATTAAAATAAAAAATAGATATTAAGAATTCAATGATTTGTTTATTTGCACGAATAAGCGTAAGAAAAATATGTATGAAAAAAACTTTTACTTAGAAAAAAAGTAATAGAATTGAAAAGTTTTAAAAGAAAACTTTGAAGATGAAAACTATATAATGTGATTTTATTTATAACAGAAAGTTCAAGTTCTACGTTGTTGAATTCAAAATGACAAATAAATGCTGGATGCCGTTCCCTCTTCATGGGTCAACCTGAAGGCTAAACCAAATATTTGCTGTTGGCCTCCTTATTCAACGAATGCAAGGATTTTAAAAGTTGCAAAAGCTAGCATGCGACTGGAAGCTAATTGGATAAGATATGCTGTAAAAGTTATCTATAAGTCTAGTGAGTATATTCAAATTTTTTGATATTGTATATTTTCATTTTATCTTCGTCTTTAAAACGATTAAAATATTTAAAATTTCGTTCTAAATGATGTCTCGTAGGATCTCTTGTAGGAAAATATAACACTATTGAGTACAGAATTTTTGTAGTAAGAGAGCACTCTCAAATTCATGAATAAGGAATTTTATAGATTTAATGTCTATAGTATTAGAACTCTGCTTGCATTATAATAAAATAGAGCTTTGGCCGAAAGTAAACAAATAAATAAATTGGAAGAAACTTTTTTGTTTGCCCTTTAACTTTTTTGTTACTGTGCCATTATTGACTTATGGATTAAAAAATTGAAGAAAAAAAGATTAAATATTGATATTTGAAGTAAATAAATTTGATTTTTTTTCCCATTTGCACGTTATAAATGTAAATCTATACCCTTTCAATGACGTTAGGTAAAAATCTTTTATTTTTATGATCTTAGTTTGTTGTCTGGTTAATAGTATTTACTTTTGATGCAGGATATTATTAAATTGCTGTAAAAGTATTAAAGAGGTTCCAAGCTCAGGAAGATAGTGACATTGAAATGTTTTCCCCTGAATTGAATGTAGGGTTTAGCGGCACAAGGTCCAGAAGAAAAAAAAGGACATGCTGCGCCAAGCACACATCAATAAAACCTCATGATAAATTTACTTAAGAAGTATGAAACAACTTAAAATTCCAACAGCGCGTAATCTTTTAACATGTTTTCACGGACCATCAGTTGAGAGTACCTTTAACTTGATGGGTGACATTATGTCTGAAAATGCAACTTCTCTTAATATTGAATCCATAGACTCTATTCAAACAACAAAATATTATCTTTCCTCTCTTAATGCCAGTACTTGTGAAGTTTTTAGCTCTAAAGATCCTGCACATGAACCAATAAACCGCGAATTTGCTCATAATTTGATATACAGTTGGTCGAATTACCAGCAGTCTCTTGCAAAAACTGTCCCTAATGCTACTCATGTATCTGAGAGCCNGGAGAGTTCCACACGGATACCAATAATTGCAGACAACATTACTAGAGACAGATTTTTCCAACTTCGAAGCAATTTAAAAATTTTAAATGACAATGTTGTACCGAATGAAGTAAGAGAAGCAGATAAATTTTGGAAAGTCAGACCAATGTTGAATAAAGTACGTCAACGTTGTTTAAAACAGAAAAGACCGCAAATTGTGTCAATTGACGAGCAGATAATCCCTTTTCATGGGCAGGTTTCCATGCGGCAATATGTAAGAGGTAAACCAAACCCAGTAGGGATAAAAGTTTTTGTTATGTGCACATCATATGGCTTACCTTTAGATTTCATCTTTTATGAAGGTAAAGGAACTGATGTATCATCGCCTGAGGATACAAGTTTTATGGACTTGGGAGGAAAAATTGTGCTGAAGCTTTCAGATTCCTTATTTCCAGGCTCGTCAATATATTTTGATCGGTATTTTACTTCAGAATTGCTGCTTGACCTTTTACTTAACAGAGAGTTGTACGCGACTGGAACTTTGATGAAAAACAAAGTTCCAAAATTGATACAGCTAAAAACCGATGCGGAAATGAGACGAGAGGGCCGAGGATCTATTAACCAAATTGTGAGAGGAGACAAGCATATTTCCCTTGTGAAATGGTTTGACAACAAAAGTGTGTTGTTACTGTCAACTCAACACGGGAAAGGTTCAGTCACAAAGTGCTCAAGGTGGAGTAAAAAGGACAAACAGTACTTAGAAGTTGACTGCCCAGCAATCGTCAAAAATTATAATGATTACATGGGTGGCGTCGATCACCTCGATCGCGCCATTAGTTACTACAGAATGAAAAATCGTACCAACAAATGGACAGTTCGAGTTATTCTCCATATGGTCGATTTTGTAATGTCAAGTGCGTGGCTCGCGTACAGAAATAAAATGAGAGAAAGAAAGAAGGACATTTTAGATTATTTTGCATTCAGGCTAGATATTGCAACTACTCTCATTCACGGATTGTTAAAAAAGCCTGTTAGAATTTCCTCCCCTACCGATGATGAAGATGATAATGATGAGCCCCCTTCAAGGCGTAGAGTGAGAGCCAGCATTCCGCACGAAGCAGCCCGCAGCCAAGAGGCTAGACACATGCCAGAAATGATTGGGGATAGGGCTCATCGAAGCAGGTGCAGAAATAGTAAGTGCTCGGCCTTAACAACTGTACACTGCACAGACTGCAAGGTTTTTTTATGCTTCACAGCATCGAGAAATTGCTTCAAAGCATTTCACGAAAATAAAAAATGTATTTAATGTTGCCACAAAACCATAAAAAAATTCTGCATGAAAAATAAGCTATGTATTGTATATATTGTGTAATTAAAAGTCTAAAAAAAGTAATTAAAACCATCTTACTTGATATTTAAGAAAAATTCTGATCGTAGTGTTTCAGTCCTCATGTATCACATGTGATACCTCCCCCCCAGCCTTTAAAAAAAAAAATTGTACTTTTCTACTTCATAATGATCTAAGCAACTATTTAAGTACCTTTTATAAAATATCCAGCTTTTATTTTTATCTCGGGTCTGAGGAGGATTTATACTGTTTTACATTTGGGTCTTGATCATTATTTTGATAAGGATTTTACACTCGTTAAAGTAAACATATGCATTTTAATATTTTATCAGGATTTATGTGGTCTTTAAAAACGTAAGAAAATCAATATTGTAAAAGTTATATTTAACTTAAAAATTAACATTTTGACACCAGCTATTTTGAGTTAATGAAATTAAATATTTTATCATTTAAGTTTTTGTGCCCCCATTTCAGTATCTTAAGGATCTTACGACAAGGTTCCCGCGGCCTTGAAAAAGTCTTAAAAAGTACTTGAATTTCATTTTCAAGGGCCCCCAAAAAGTACTTGAAAATAATGCTAAGTCCTTGAAATATTCGAAATGGCCTTGAAAATTATCAGAAACTCGCAAAAATCGCCCCATTTCCGGCATTTCTGTGTTGGACTTCTCACGCATGCGCGTAAGGACAAAAGAATGACTTTCCTGCCTTTCAGACGATGATGACGTAATGCTCTCCGCTCTTATCAGTTGTTGACGTCACGATTTCTCTCTTGCCAACGCGATCGTTAACAAAGACTGGTTTGACTGCTAACTCAAGGAGGATAAGTTATATATCGATATATTTTTACTGCGTTAATTGATATCGTTGGTTTGTTGAACACGTTGGTTTGTTCGTATTTTTCCTCGGTAGCACATCCAGGCTATTGTTTATTAGTTAAAACAAAATAATGGGTAAATGTATTTTTAACATTTTATGGTTAAATAAGCCAGAATATAGTGATTGGCTGAAGCAAGGCGATGGAAAGTTTAAAGCATCTTGCCGATTATGCTCAAAGGAATTTGATATCTCAAAAATGGGAGAATCAGCCCTGCGATCCCACAATGAAGGTAATTATTTTTCGTTTTATTATATTTTGTTACATTAATAAATTAAAAATCTAATTGTTAAAAGTTTTTTTTGTTATCAAAACTAGTTTTTGGAGTGATTTGAATCAAAATTATTATTGCATTTCTTTAAATTTACTGTTATTCCTTCTAAAATATAAGCAATTTGCTTAAGTTTAAAAATGTAAAGTGATTGTTTTAAGCGCTTTTCAATGTGTGTTAATATTTGATTGTTGTTAATTTATGCACATATTAAGTATCAAAAACTTGTGCATAAACAAAATCAATATAAATTTTGTTTAATTTTGATTTTATTTTCGTAAAAGGAGTGTTTTGATTGATTTGAGTTTTTTTATTATTAAAATTAGGTGTGTGTTTCGGGAAACTTATTACCTTACAATTATTGTAAATAAAACAAAAATAGGTCCAAAAGATTTCCTAATCATTTGATTATTTAACTATTATAAAAATGGAAGTAGCCCTTCTATTATCAACATAAATTTTTTTTTTTACTAACAAATGAGAAGTAAATAAAACTTCCTTTTCTTGCTTAGTAAATTTTTTTTATTTTATTTATTTACAGGTAAAAAGCACAAAGATCTTTTGAAGAATTTCAAGGCATCAAGCCTTAAAAATTTTGTTGAGCACAAGCAGGTACTGAATATTGAGCAACCAGTGCCCAGTTCCTCTACAAGTAGCATATCTCAAGAAGCAGTGCCTTCTTCTAGTGCTGTTTTGAATTTTGGCACTACTGATAGCACACATGCTGAGATAAGATGGGTGCTAAAGTGCATTGAAAATAATTATTCTTTCAATTCGTGTCAAACAATTGCCGATAAATTTAAAGACATGTTTAGCGACAGTGTCGTAGCTAGATCTTTTTCGTGTGGGGCCAAT